AAAGTACAAACTAATTGTAACATTGATTTCAGTCAGGTGCAAAGTACAAACTAATTGTAACATTGATTCAGTCAGGTGCAAAGTACAAACTAATTGTAACATTGATTCAGTCAGGTGCAAAGTACAAACTATTTGTAGCATTGATTTCAGTCAGGTGCAAAGTACAAACTAATTGTAACGTTGAATTCAGTAAGGTGCAAAGTACAAACTAATTGCACCATTGATTTCAGTCAGGTGCAAAGTACAAACTAATTGTAGTGTACTAAGAAAAAATATTTCCATAACTGACTTACTGTTGAAAGGCTATGTTATATTAAACCTGTGTTGCCATGACTTACTGTTGAAAGGCTATTTTATATTAAACCTGTGTAGCCATGACTTACTGTTGAAAGGCTATGTTATATTAAACATGTGTAGCCATGACTTACTGTTGAAAGGCTATGTTATATTAAACATGTGTAGCCATGACTTACTGTTGAAAGGCTATGTTATATTAAACCTGTGTATAACACAGGTTTAATATAACATAGCCTTTCAACAGTAAGTCATGGCCCAGAAGGAATTTGAACAAACCTTAATACTTCTTTAAGACAAAATTCTATCCATCATCTATCATACAAAACTTTCAGCCAGTGATCTCAGAAGATTTATTTCCCAATAGCTTTGATTTTTGAAACAGAAATTTCATTTCATGAAACATAAAGTGTATCTTTACAGTAGGTGTTGTTTATTTCATAAAGGGTCATCATGCGTAACATTAAATTAGGTAGTGTTTACTTCAAAAGGATCATAAGCATGTTATTTGCTCTCAGTTTCTCATATAAAGAAACTGACGTGAACAATTATGATATTAAAAAACGTGTAGAACCAAGCATTAGATGAATTACAAAATAAGAATCCCAATAACCTAAGACCTTTCAGAACATAAGACTTCCTTTTTTTAGGGGTGAACTGGGAGCTGACGTGAAATTAGAATCACACTCAATCTTCTTAATAATAACTTCCTACCAGTTCAATCTGATGATATATCCTGCTTAGATCCTTAAATTATAGCTGTTGTACACAACAATAAATTAAAAAATATGTTTACACTATGCCTTATTAAGTATTAACCACATTCACGAGAAAAATATTTTAATTATCAGAAACTATCATTAAACCTAATCCAACTGTGGTGACATTAAAGTCTACGTACCTGTAACAACAGTAGCAGTAACACCCTTGTAACTTCAATTTTAGCAAGAAGTGATGCAAACACTCCAAATACATGGTTATCAGTGGGTGATACACCTAAAAAACAGATATATAGAAAAGTAGGCTTTAATGTGAGGTAAAATCCCTGCTCTCTTCTATTACACTAGGATTAAAACTTTCGATGACTTAGGAGGGAGAGGAGCCACCAATACCTATTAAACTTTTTCTTCTCATAGACTAAATAGTTAACAGCATGAAACCGACAGCAAATTTACTAAATAATATCTAGTTTAGGCTAAAAGTAATTCACAAAATTTGATTTGCTTGTGTGTTGTTTTATAGCAAATCCACATCAGGCAATCTGCTGTGTCCACCAAGGGGAATCGAACCCCTGATTTTAGCATTGTAAATCCACAGACTTACCATTGTCCCACCAGGGGACTAAATTTGATTTGCTTTGGATAATTATTTATGTTGTGAAATTCTCAAACTTATATTGTGAGATACTGTTTTGAGAAAAAACTTTAAAACTATTTAGTTTCACTTTATAATTGAAATTTACATACACACACAGAGAGATATATATATGGTAATCAGTTTCATGTTGATAGATGTTCTTTAACATGTATTTTGATACTTTATTTTCACAATTGCAATTGTCACTACTTTGGGCTAAAAATAGTAAAGACATGTAGCAATATTCTTGGTCATAATCCATTTCTATCTAATAAATAACTTTATTTTCTATAAATTTTATGTTCATTTATTTATTTGTGAAGTTTAAATACAATAAACTTAATAATAATATTCAAGGAACAAGGTTTCGAGTCACATTTCACTTTCCGCCTTTACCTAGCATACTCTCTAAACCTAACAAGACTTACCTGTCATGGTAGAAAATTTCTATACCTTTCAAACATGTATAATTTAATATGTAAACATTTTCTGAAAGGAAATGAGCAACTGAATAACTAAGAAACAAATTTCCAGATTTGTTTCCAAGTTTTTTAAACTTCCCACTAAACTCCCTCATTCTTCTGTGCAGAGGTTAGGCCTTGTCACTTTCCCATGAAGCCATAAGTTATTTCTCACACCACTTTATTTAATCTACATTAAGGTAAAAAGTTTCTTATCTCCTCCATCCAATGGTTCTTAAATGTTATTAACAATTTTAAAATCAGAGCTACATTAGTAGATGTTCGGATCACAAGTTGTGAGGTCATAAAAGTGTGTAGATGAGAGGTTTATCATACTTGCATTTAAGTATGAAGATGTCCTACTATGTCATCAAATTTAACTGAAATAAAACATTTTTAATAGCAAGCTTTCTGACTTAACAATATATATCAAACAGGAATGTTATAAAAAGAATGTAATACTTTATAACTTATGTTGGCTGTAAATACTATATTCTAACATGTCTTCATTTGTAACAAAAAAAAGTCCTCAATTATGGAAAATACTTTTGAAAAGTTTGTTTTATATCTGCTTCTCCCCAACTTTCATTAGATCAAGTCTATCTCTGTTGAATTTAGGTTCCATTTAAATTATTTCAAACATTAAAATAATTTCACGTGAAAGAAAACAATTAGGTGAAAAGTACACGATTAAAGCAAATGATAAAAAATTAAAGCCTGCCTCCAAGTGCGCTTTGAGAAGTTTTAACATTTCTGAGACATCTGGATAACTCAACTTCAGATGTTTTGTAATTGGTCAACTGTCTGTCAATCAAAATATGGAGTCTCACATACCAATTTCAGTTTAGCATAAATATCAAAGCACACAAGGCAATCCTGGATAAAGCCTATTAGTTCCGATAATTTGTCTTCATCTCTAGCACTCAATTCTCATCCCTATACTTATTACTATATCAGTAATGATAATACATCATTCAACAATAATGCAATATAAGTCAAAAACATCTAAGCAAGTGAAAATAAAAATAACCATTCATCTGTATATCTATTAATGTTAGGTTCTGTTTTTTTTGATAAAAACTTTTTCAGTTTTCTGTGATTAATATTGTTTTTTTTTGTCAATTATTTCAACATCTAAAAAATCAAAGAAATAATTATTTTTAACCATACGTTCAAACACATGAGAGGGAGCTTTCAAATGTTCTTTCAGTCGTTTGTTGAAAGCTGTTCACAGTTTTTACATTAAATCTGATACACTTATCCCGATCTGTCAGTTTTTACATTAAATCTGATACACTGATCCTGATCTGTTGATACACTGATCCCGATCTGTCAGTTTTTACATTAAATCTGATACACTGATCTCGATCTGTCAGTTTTTACATTAAATCTGATACAATGATCCCGATCTGTCAGTTTTTACATTAAATCTGATACAATGATCCCGATCTGTCAGTTTTTACATTAAATCTGATACAATGATCCCGATTTGTCAGTTTTTACATTAAATCTGATACACTGATCCCGATCTGTCAGTTTTTACATTAAATCTGATACACTGATCCCGATCTGTCAGTTTTTACATTAAATCTAATACACTGATCCTGATCTGTCAGTTTTTACATTAAATCTGATACACTGATCCCGATCTGTCAAAAAATTTCCTTGCCATAAGATGGCTAATTTCTCCCTAACAGGAAAGAAAATTTGACACTTTGAACATTTATTGATGTACCGTTTCTCTCTCATCAATCGGTTTCTATGGGCGATTGTTTTATTTAGTACTTTGGAAGGATCTCATTTTGAGATTATAAAATATTTATCTCAGTTATCAAATCCTATTGTGTGAAACAGTTTTTATGATCCCTATCCTCTGTCCAGTATCATGGAATAAATGCTAATAAAGCTCAACTCCTATGATGTTAGTTTCTGGTGTTACTCATAACCAAATTGAAGGTCTAAGTATAGGAAATCCAGTTTCTCCCATTTTGGCCAATATATTTATGATAAAGACACAAGAAATTGCTATTTTCACTTCCCTACATCTTCTTGTTTTCTAGATTCAAAATATGAATGAACTTTTTATGGATTTTAAACATTAAAATTGTACTAACAGTATAATATCTATCTCCAAATTAAATTTACAGTTGAAAATGTAATTTCGTGGTAATCTTTCATTTGTTAAAATAACAAAATGAGTTCTAGCTGAGAAATGTGTGTTAAAATAACAAAATGAGTACTAGCTGAGAAATGTGTGTTAAAATAACAAAATGAGTTCTAGCTGAGAAATGTGTAGTTAAAATAATAAAATGAGTACTAGCTGAGAAATGTGTAGTTAAAATAACAAAATGAGTACTAGCTGAGAAATGTGTGTTAAAATAATAAAATGAGTACTAGCTGAGAAATGTGTGTTAAAATAACAAAATGAGTACTAGCTGAGAAATGTGTGTTAAAATAATAAAATGAGTACTAGCTGAGAAATGTGTGTTAAAATAACAAAATGAGTACTAGCTGAGAAATGTGTGTTAAAATAATAAAATGAGTACTAGCTGAGAAATGTGTGTTAAAATAACAAAATGAGTACTAGCTGAGAAATGTGTTAAAATAACAA